TCAAATATAACTTATCGCTTTGCTATTTTAATAGAACAAACATTTTTTGGAATATATTCTATATATTTATATATATGTGTATATATTAAATTTTTGCAATTCGTTTACGAATTAAGATAGCAAAAAAATACAACAACAACAATAATAACAACAAGAAAATTAAATATTTTTTGGTCAACTGAAATTGCGAATTCATTTCCCAAAAATAAATATTCTCAAATAATAGACAAACAATTTTTAGATATATATATGAATATATTTATTTATATTTTTTTTTTGTTATGCATTATACATACATATATCATGAATGTATGTATAATATGCAATATAAAAATTTAATAAAATGTATATCTTATTAATGCAATTTAGTTTATAATTATTAATTATTTAGAATATTATAAATATAATTATTTGCAACCACTCCAACCATTGTAAAATAACTATTAAAAGCAGGACCTAAAAAGGACCTATTCCTATTTATTATATATTATAATACTGTATAAAATATTGTTATAGAAATTTAAAACCACGGTACTCGTTCCAGAAAATGATAAAAGGACTTTCAATAATTCCATAAAAAAATTCATGAGGTTCCGATTTCCTAGGTATTCACAGTACTTAAAAGTAAAATTACTTAAATAATTCCAATAATTTATTGTTATTATAAATTCCAACCAATTCATTGTATTCCTATTTAATATACATATTATATTTTATACAGAGTACATACATTATTATTATTATTATTATTGTGGGGTCTATTGTGCCCCCCCTCTGGGTTTAGAGTAGGTCACTAAGCCCTGTTGCGTCAATAAAAAGTAGTGTAGAACCTACTACTTTAGAGAGTTTAATTGCCTCTTCCGTAAGAATATACATCGGCAGGAACCTATTCCGTATGTGTTTGAGCGCAAAAGTATATACATACTCTGTATAAAATAATATTACAGAGATTTAAAACTAAAGGACTTTCAATAATTCCATAAAAAAATTCATGAGGTTACGATTTCCTAGGTATTCACGGTACTTAAAATTGTATTTAAATTGTATAACATGAAATTATCAAATAATTTCGATAATTTATTCTTTAAATGACTAGTTTTTTTAAATACTAATTTTGTTTTTTAACGGATTAATGGGTCAATAGTTAAATAATGCAATTTTAAAAAAAATTTGTTTTTTTAAAAGATTTTATTTGGACCGATATTTCATAAAAAAATATGAGCTGATATTGATTTTCTGGGTATCCATATTATACTCAATATTAGAAAATGATTATAGGTCCTACAATAATTCAGTAATAATTTTATTTGAAACGATATTTCATAAAAAAAATTTGACTTGATTCCGATTTTCTGAGTATTCACGGTACTTAATTCCAGAAGACGATTACAGGGGTTTCAATTATTTCTAGGTACTTAACCTCAGAAAACAATAACGATAACAATACGATTGCTTGGGTATGTCGATTTATATATATTATTACTTATTATATTATATTATGTACTTTTTAAGGTATCGCAGTGAATAATAATATAAAATTTTTATATTAATTACATTAACTAAAACAAGAAAAAACTATATTTGTGCCACTTAGTATATGTATGTAATTTGTGCGTCTTATTTTTATATAAATTTATTAGTAGTTCTGATATAAAAATTTCTAACGTTATAGCCCGATATCTCGTAAATAAAACTATACTACACTAAACTATAATAAAGAAGTGAAAGAAGTTGCTTAAAACAGTTGTCTTTACTAAAGTCCATTGTCAATTGGGTGTTTCAAAGAAATCGGAATTGTGCAAAACATTTTATAAAATATATTAAATACATATATTATCATATTCAATGATTCACCAATTGTAAACATGTGTTTAATATGTTTAAAACATATTTAAAAAATAATACATATTGTTGTTTTTCTAACCAGCATACGTATATATACTAACATACATATTTAAATATATTTAAGTGGATGTACCATTCGTACCCATGAGAAATGGCTGGTTTCAGTTGCGATCACTCATATGGTTTAAAGTTATTTGTTTACCCAAATAACAAACTGTCACTGCTCACTCACAATAGAGATTATCATTTGTCTACCAAAATAGATTCTCTATTTTGAGTCATGTACCACTCCCAATTGGGATTGTATGCAACAGGGTACTCGCAGGTCACAACAACAACACTAACAACTATTTGCTACAACGCTAAGTTTAATTTCTTAGCAAAAACTAAGGTGCTGAAAGTGTTTAATTGAGCTTTGATGCATAAGGTTGCCGCTTTAACTTAACCAGTCAAATCAGTTAATAACAATGACAACTCTATTATCAAATACACACTAACTTGAGTCCAATTGATCTTTGGATATGCCACATTGAAGTGGCCAGATTCTTCCGCTTTGTCTCAGATTGAATTTAATTAAAATCTCCTACTTTCTCTTAGTACCATCACCTATCCACATTATAATCCATGTACACGTATTTATGATCACTTTCATATATGTAACAAATGTAGCAATTTTTACGGGTTACTACAACAACAACAATATCAACGACTTTAGGATTTTGCCTAATACAAATATCAGAAGTATCGATATATATGACTCACACTCTTTCAAATTAATATATCATCTAAACAAATTTTGATAGTAATTCCACAGACTATGAAGGTTTTGAATAACTGAATGAGAATATTAAAGGTACGCAATGTTTTCGAAACTTTTGTCTGTCTCCTTCCACTTCACCTATTACCTTATTATAAACACTACTGAATTCGAAAAATCCTAATTTTAGTCACAGAGATTATAGTATAGTATATATATTTTAATAGTCATCAATTTCTCTGATTGCATTTTTACACCCTACATACAAAAACTGAAAAATCTATATACGATTTGTCACAATAATCATAACGCGTTGGTGGACGGTAGTTCGTTACATATAAATCCTGTATTCTTACTCAGGATGACAAAATGAATCGTTTAATCCATAATCGCTTATCGTTTATCTGTTCTTTCGTTGTCTGTCTGTCCGTTGTATCTATCTATTAATACAGAAAACCTAACATTGCATGGGGGCTTGATCTAACCATATATATAGTAGTTCTAGTTAGTATATTAACTAACTAGAATTTGAAATTTGGAATTTAGTATAGAATGTCAACTAAATAAAATATAAACTATAAAAAATGTGAACTATATAGAATGTGAACTATATAGAATGTCAACCATATATAATATCAACTATAAAGAATATTAACTATATATAATATTAACTATATAGAATATTAAATATATATAATATTAAATGTATAGAATATCAACTATATAGAATATTAACTATATAGAATATTAACTATATATAATATTAACTATATACAACATTTACTTTATTGAATACTAACATAGACATGTTCTGTAGTTTATGTTTCGAAATCTCTTCGCTAATATTTGAAGTTGTTTAAGTATGAACTAGTGGGTTACTCGTATGAATGCAGTTATATATATAACATATATATATTAACATATATTATCATATATATATTATATCATTTAAAGTCTGTTGTTTTCAGTTTGTGGCCACAATGAAAAAAGAGAAAAGAAAGTGAGATAATATGTTCGGAGACAGAGTTTCATAAGATTTGTGGAGTCAGTTTGGTAGATTTCACGTTTTATTTAATTTGAACTGGATTTTGTGTTATTATTATAACTCTAAATAGTTAGTATAGTTTTCAAAGTTACATCGACACTTTATTAAAAATAATAAGGTTTATTTTACTGAAAATTATTTAAGCCTTTCTAATAATCAATAAGGTGTATATAGACCATATTATTTGGATTCTACAGAACTTTGTGTTCTCTGTCGATAGTCTTAATTTATATATATTTTTTTACGGACTAATTGGTCAAGGTTAAATAATAAACCTCCTTTTTTTAAATTAATATTAAAATTTTATTGATTTTTATTAAAATTTTATAAATTTTATTGATTTTTATTAAAATTTTATAAATTTTATTTTATTTAAGAATTGAAAATCATATCAATTTGAGTATTTTACATTTAATTATTTACTTTTTATTTTCTTGGATCTATGACTTAAACTTTATTAGTAGAACTTGCTTATATTAAATATTATTTAAATTATCTTTTGTATGGTTTGTTTTTTTATTTATGTCACTATTATGTACACCGTTATAACCTTAATAAAATAGGTCTGTCCGAAGATATGGAGTGTCTACTCTGCTTAGAAGCAGACGAGACCACCAGTCACATTCTCTGTGAGTGCCCAACCTTGATCTGGGTAAGGAGGAGGTCACTGGGAGAAGAACTGCTCTCTCCTTTTGACTTTAGGAGGTCCTCAACGAACGACATTCTGGCTTTCATTCGAAAGGCGGAATGTCTTCTGTTCGGTTAGGGTCAGTTGCAGTACAAAAGATCAATCTGGTCGCAGTGCTCTGTTCCGTTGGGAGCTAGTATATTTCTATTCTATTCTATGTATATTGTTATCATTATTATTTGAATAATTTGTGTTATTTTTTACTATTTATTTATTTTTTTGGTATTTATTTTTTATTATTAATACTATTATTTTTTATATATTTATTAGTTAATAATAATTAATAATTATTATTAATTATAATAATTTTTAATTAATATTCATTTTAAAATTACATTAATTTATGATATATATTATTTTATAAATAAATTAATATATAATATATTTATTTTTTATTAGTATTTTTTTCTTTTTTATTTTTAATATATAATAAATCAGTCATATTTTATAATTATTTCGAATATGTACTTATGGCAATGACTAGGTGTAGTCATCGGTCGTTAATTTTTGAATAATCATAAATTCTTTTCTATAATTTATACTAATTTATTTTCTATATGTCACTTGTAATTGTTTTTAACGAGTCATCATTTAATTTTGACCAACTGTTTTAAAAAGTTTAAAATAGTATAATTAGCAGCTGGAATGGCGAGAAAGCAATCTAATGGTTAGCACTTTGTTCTACATCGGCATTACAAACTTCTAATAACAGCAACAGCTAATATAATTTTAATGTCAATTCTGCATTCCATTGTTTATGTTGGATCTGTTTTTTAATATGTTTGTTTACATATACTGCTGCCTGTGTATTGCTGTTGGTTCCACAACTGTTTTTAGCCTAGAATGTCAAATCGTAGAAAACACTCCGGTACTCGTCTTCAATGCCAGCTGCTGGGGCGTTGCAGTGCGCATGTCTATTAAATCCTCAGTTGCACTTCTTAATCTAAACATTTCGTCGAGTGAGCACTGCAACTTCATTGCGTTCTTAATGTTGAACCAGAGTAAACCGAAGTGTAAACAAAAGTTTTTTAGGTATTTCAAAAGCAAAACAGTTCGCATTCCAAACAATTTTTTTTCAAATTGTTGACAACCAAAATTAAAACGAGATCCTGAAATTTAACAAATAATTAATAGTATTAAACTATTTATATATTTATTAAAATGTTTTATCATTTTCAGAAGAATGTCTAAAGAAAAAAATAAATCAAACGATGGTTGGTTCGAAACCATATTTGGGCGACCAAAAGTTCGAGCCAGTGGTTATAATCACAATGCGATTTCTGGACGTCCTACATCAACAGATGGCGATGCGTACGATTTACAGGAATTGGAGAATAATATACGCGGTCTTACCGATTCTGAAGTAGACATCAAATTCATGGAAATTCTGGAGGACATGAATATTCCCAAGGACAAGCGTGAACCATTGCTATCCAAGCCACTGCAGGAAAGGCGACAAATGATCTTTATGCATCTAAAAGGTATGTTAAAGTTAATTGTTTTATAAATTTTTATTTCTGGTGTTTTTTTTTCCACTTCTTTTTTTTATCGGATGAGTTTTTTAAAGTGAGACAGATAAGATTAAATTTTTTAGCTGACAATGTGAGTTTAAATATATTTAGCAGTTTGAGTTTTCATTGTTTATACAATTTGAGAATTAAATAAAATGAAAGCAAATAATAAAACCTCAAAAATGTGAAGGAAACTTCAAGAGTTCATTAAAATCATTGGACTTTAATACTTGTATCATCTTACAAAAGTTTGTTATAAAAAAATACTTAACAAAAAAATGTAAACATTTTTTACATTTAATGTAAATATTATAAATTATACTTAGCAACCGAAAATTAATAGTTCCAATTACTTAGAATTATTTCAAGTAATTGCCTAGAAAATAATGATATATAGCTTTCAAGGTTGTGTAGTGTGATACCTCAACATTTGTTTGGACTAGAAGATTAATGTATTAGAACATAACTTGAATCCATTGGGCACAATAAAGCTTAGGTGCAAGTTAAATCCACATGTCTCCCATGCTTTATCCTACATAACTTCATTTAATAATCCCTTCCCACTCTTTATCACCCTCTTGTTTATATGCTTTCTTGGAACCAATAGATTACAACAACAACAACATAGGAAATTACTCGAAAATACACGAAACATTTTCTGATATTCGATCATTAGTTGACAAAACGAAAATAAAATGTGACATAAAGCAGATCAATTGTACAGGAAATTCGAATATTTTCAAACAATATTTAAAATATTTGTTCCAAATGTTCGAATACTTCTTTTCATTCCTTTATTTGTTTGCTTTTCGATGAGTTCGAACAATAACATCATAGTGACCTGTTCGAAAATATTCAAACATTACATGAGGTTCGAGCCTGTTAACAAAACAAAAAAAAAAAAATAAGACATAAATCAGATCAGTTGTATGAAAAATTCGAAAATCTACAAACAGTTCGAAAGGGTTGAATATATATAAAGTCCTTGATTTAAATGTTCGAACATTTAAATTCGAAGAATCTCCAGCTAATCATCGAACACTTTGAAACACTAATGTAATCTATATTATTGATTAATACTTTTGTAAATCTAATTTTTCTTCTTTAAAGTAATCATATAACGCTAATCTGAAATATTGCCCCCTTTACTTGTTACTTATAAAAAACAAAAACTCTAATTAGGGTTCACATTAGATATAGACAAGAGTTACCTTATCCTGATTATGCATTAATATTAGTTGGGCAAGAACAGTATTTGGTACACGAAACAGTTGTTGTTCCTACTATGAAATATTACCATGAAGTTCAATTAAAAACCGAAACCTAATGTATGTCTTTGTTCTTAAAAAATATTATGACTGACGTTAGATAGTATGTATTTGTCTCTAAGAGATATTATGTTGGAGGCTAGATAATAACCGAATCGCAATGTATGGTATGTTTAATACCAAAGATTTTGAATCAATATGTAAGGCTCAAAGTCTTCAACTGTATTCATAATAAAAAATATTGTCTGCATTATAAATATATTATTACAACTATATTAATATAGATATAATAATAATGTCACAATGTTACGAAGATAGTAATTGATAAATGTGACAGTGTTGGGATAATACTACTGACTAGTGCCCCATTTGATGTCCATCTATGTATGTTAGTTTATAAAAGAAGAAATTGCTTAGATAACAGCCGATTGTGAGGTAAAGATCATCGTCGATTTCACTTAGAGATGATAGTCAAGCATAAAACGATGATAGCCGGTTGTGTTGATAACCTGGGAAGATCTGTGAGAATAATAGATATCTTCCGGGAAAGAAATTATAAATACGAATACTAAAGATACTATATCATCATGACAGCCCGTGAAAATACGCAGTGCCGAAAGTTTTGTTAATGTCACAAGTTGTGACATTTTGATTACCATCATAATATCCATATAAACTATACTTGATTTAGAGTATAATAGCAGGCATTACTAAAACCCCTAATGATTACAATGCATATATTTCATTTAGCTATGATATACTGATAGTTATATCTTTAATGACAGGATATATCGTTACTATATTATAGTATAAAGAGCATTCTATAACATAGAATAGAATGTCGAAAATAATAATAGCAGTGTAATATATTACAATATTTAATAAGGTCAGCTTTTTTTTATCGTGATTAAATTTTTTGAAATCTGTTTTGTTTAATGTGAAATTTTTCAATGTCGTATTTTTTTCTGGATTATGAATGTGGAACTATTTCTTCAATTAGTCAAAATTTCAACAATTATTTTTAATTTTATATTTATTTACTTTAAACACATAAAATATTTGCTTTGTTTCTCTGATAAGAATTTCTCATAACTGTTTCATTTTGAAACATCGTACTCCATATATAGTAATAAATAATTTATTTATGAAGTGGAAACTATATACAATTTTGATATATTCGTGCTGTTTCTGTGACTTAATTTCATTCATTATTTTTAGGTTACGGTAATGAAATTTATTTTTTATTATAATATTCATTTTTGCACTTATTTAAATTTGTAGAAAATTAATTAACTAGAATTTTTTTAGCTCATTTAAATTTGTTTCACTATATCTACAGATTTTTGTAGTCATGTTTCTCATTCACTAAAAGTGTTAAATATTTTTCTATTTACACTTCTATTTGAACCTTAGTCAATGGCATGTCGTTTGCTTTTAAATCTATATTATTTACAAATTTTCACAGCAAAGCTCTAATAAAACTGATCAATATTCAATATATTCAGTAAGCTATAAGCATTTCTGAAGTTTTAATTGACACTAGAGTATAAAAAGACTATAGAGATAGAAAAAAACGAAATCGACACAACTAACTATAAAAACACGCCTATATAAAATCCCCTACTTAAAAACTTTACCCCTAAAAAATAAAATCTCAATCAATACGTCTTGATAATATATACATACCGAAATTTTTTTTAAATTGGCTTTTCTAAGTACAAAACACATATATGGTTTTCAGTAGGCAAGTTATTGTTCCGAATAGCTTCTATGAGCATATTGTTGAAAGTCCCAACGATACTTAAAAAACCTCTTATAGCAAATTATAGTCTTAGTCCCATCTTATAGCTGTCATTATATCAAAGATCGTTCTAGGATTTAAAACGACTCCGACATAAGAATTTAGCACTTTCTTTATAGTTTCTATGACAAAAAATTGAAGACTTTTGCAACATTTCAAGAAAGACCCCGTCTAGTGCCAGTGCTTTTTATGATGGGAACGAGCTTATTGCCCACTTCACTTTGTTATTAGTGAGAATTTTTACTTTTTCGTTTTATGATATAGGAGAGATCCGGTCATGTCTATATAAATTCTCAACTGGGTAATATGATTTCCACAAACTCTGTAGAGATCTCTGAATATTGTACATACATTACTCATCACACTTGTATATAAGACTGACCATGGTATGTTTATTGTTGACAACTTTTCGAAGCCTTAAAGCTTCACTCTTTGTTTCTATACTGTCATAGAACTCTTTTAATAAGCTATTTGTGGCGATACTAACTTCTGTATTCTTTCTTTCAATTCTATCCGTCTTTCTTGGGGCATTATATCTTTCGGTAGCCTGAAAACTGCATTAGGTTCTTTATCAAGACACTTATTTGGACATCAGGGTAGTTTGCATCTATTTCAAAGTCTGATGATTAGACATAATGCGTGATAAGTATACATTATTTTATGTGTGATGGTTTCTAGTGAGTTTTCAACTGTTGTCAACGATCTGATAGGAGCGATTATCTTAATATGCACTTTAAGCTCCCTGTAAATTGGATCCAGTCAATCGTCAATTTAATAATTTTGATAATATGACTGAATTTAATTGCCGAAACAAATGGCCAGTCTTATATACAGATGTTATATTACCCAGTTGAGTATGTAAATAGAAGTGATCAGATCTCTACTATATCACAAAACGTACGCAGTTATTGATAGAAATATTGAATTAATTTTTATGAAATTATTTTTGAAATGTCATGAAACTTTATCGGTAAATTTTTTATAAAGAGGTTTCAATTATTCGTAAATAATATTTGGCAGGGTACAAGTTTAACTCTTAGAACTTGCAGTCTTAAAAAAAATTATTAATATAAAAAATAATAAAATAGTGTTGTTGCAATTCACTACTCTATATCATATATATTAATAAATATATTTTATTATATTGTAGGTAAAAATTCTATGGAACACCGCGGAAATTCTCGATTTGAAAAACCACAAGACTACATTGATTATATAAAAAATAGTGCAGAACACAGTGAAAATAAAGTATATCAATGTGTAGAAAGTTTGCGTGTAGCATTAACTAGCAATCCAATATCATGGATTAAAGATTTTGGAGAAAATGGAATTGACGAAGTGATGAATTTGCTCGGAAGATGTAGAAAAGAACGTCATGAACGAATCGAATTCGAATGTATACGATGTCTTACGGCTTTCATGAATAATACATGGGGTCTCAATGTAGTACTTATGCCAGATCAACATTCAGTTGTACTGCTTCTAGCACAGTGTTTAGATCCTAAAAAGCCTTATACTATGTGTGAAGCCGTAAAACTTTTGGCATCCTTTTGCATTGTCCCTGAACGAAATGGTTACGAAAAAGTCTTGCGTGCTATAACTACAGCAGCATCAGCAACGTATAAATCTAGCGAGCGTTTTCGTCCCATTGTCGACGCACTGTTTGTGCCAGAAGCGTTGGACTCAAAACGTGATTTGGCGTGTCACTGTTTGATTTTTATAAACACCCTAACGAATACGCCAAGTGATCTTAATGTTCGATTACATCTTAGATGTGAAATAATGCGTATGGGCTTAAATGATAAATTTGAACAATTCAAACAGATTGTGGAAACTAGCAACAATGATGATTTGAAAAAGCACTTTAGAATATTTAATGAAATACGTGAAGATGATTTCGAAGAATTTATACAACGATTTGATAATGTAATATTTAATGTAGATGATTTATCGGACTGTTTTGAGGTGCTAAAGAATCTTGTCACAGATACAAATTCTGAACCTTACTTTTTATCAATATTGCAACATTTACTTTACATTCGAGATGATTATTACTTTCAACCTGCCTACTACCAATTAATTGAAGAATGTATATCACAAATTGTATTCCATAAAGCTTATTGTGATCCTAGTTTTGAAAATCGTAATTTTAACATTGATCCCTCATTAGTATTGGATGAAATTGTTGAAAAAACAAAAGCTAAAGAATCTAAGCGCTCGGAAGAACTTGAAAAGAAAGTTGAGGAACTTGTTAGTGCTAAACAAGAGGCAGAGGCTAAGGTAGCACATCTAGAGGAGAAGGTTAGGCTGATGGAGGAAAAAGGTGTTATAGCTCAATCGCCAAACAAATTGCCGAAAATAAATATACCGCTACCGCCATCAGGTACAGGGCCATCAGCTCCAGGTCCACCACCTCCGCCTCCTCCACCTATGCCAGGCATGGGCGGTCCTCCGCCGCCACCTCCTCCAATGCCTGGTATGGGTGGTGCTCCTCCACCGCCACCAATGCCTGGAATGGGCGGCCCGCCCCCACCACCAATGCCTGGTATGGGTGGTCCTCCTCCACCACCAATGCCTGGCATGGGCGGACCACGGCCACCACCAATGTTAATTCCTGCTGCGCCTGTTTTGCCTTACGGAATGCAACCGAAAAAGAAATGGGAAGTTAATACTCCAATGAAACGCGCTAATTGGCAAACTATAGCTCCGCAAAATATGTCAGAACAAGCATTTTGGATAAATTGTAAAGAAGATCAACTCGCGTCTGACGATTTCTTAACTGAACTGTCTGTTAAATTCGCTTCGAAACCTGCGAAGAAAGACCAAAAAGACGCAGTTGATAAACCAACTACACTAACAAAGAAAAATGTTGATCTGCGTGTATTGGACTCCAGATCAGCACAAAATCTTTTGATACTTCTCGGTGGATCATTGAAACAATTGTCACATGATCAAATAAAACTTTGTCTACTACGATGTGACACTGATATTCTCTCGTCGAACATCTTGACACAACTAATACAATATTTGCCACCACCAGATCAACTCAAACGTTTACAGGAAATAAAAGCTAAAGGCGAGCCGTTATCATCTATTGAACAGTTCGCAGCTACAATTGGTATGTCGTGGTTTTTATTTTTACTTTGTTTGAATATAAAAATTTTAATATATAATCATTTAAATATTTTTAGCTGAAATAAAACGTTTGTCTCCACGTTTGCACAATCTTAACTTTAAGCTAGCTTTTGCTGATATGGTGCAGGATATAAAACCAGACATTGTTGCAGGCACCGCTGCGTGCGATGAAGTGCGGAATAGCAAAAAGTTTTCTGAAATACTTAGGCTTATCTTACTTGTCGGCAATTATATGAATTCGGGCTCTAAAAATGGTGTTGCTTTTGGTTTTCAAATTTCATATCTCACAAAACTTTCCAACACAAAGGATACAGACAATAAATGCACTTTATTGCATTATATAGCTGAAGTAGTTGAAAAGAAATTTCCAGAATGTCTTACATTTTATAATGATATGACGCACGTTGACAGGGCATCCCGTGTCAATTTAGAAGCAATACAAAAATCAATGCAACAAATTAACTCTGCTGTCAAGAATTTGGAAACTGACTTACAAAATAACAAAGTACCACAATGTGAAGATGATCGCTTCAATGAGGTAATGGAAAAATTTGCTGCTGATTGTCGACAACAAGTCGATGTTTTAGGTGAGTATATATTTAGAATATCAAAATTTATTTCAAAATAAAATAAAACTTAATTATTTGATTTATTTTATAGGTAAAATGCAAATCAAAATGGAAAAATTATATAAAGACTTAAGCGAATACTTTTCCTTTGATCCGAATAAATACACAATGGAAGAATTCTTTGCGGACATTAAAGCGTTTAAGGATCAATTCTTGCAAGCTCATCAGGAAATTATACGACACCGCGAAGAAGAAGAGAAAAAGCGTAGAATACAAGAAGCGCGAGAACAATCTTTACGTGAACAAAATGAAAGACAGCGACAAAAACTGGCACTTGTTGATATGGATGCGGCACATACCCAAGAAGGTGTTATGGACAGTTTGTTAGAAGCTCTACAAAATGGTTCCGCTTTTGGTAATCGCATGCATCGTCAAAGAAGACAACGCGCTGAGGGCGCAGAAAGACGTGCACAACTCAGTCGTAGTCGTTCCAGAACTCGAAACACACCACATTTGCTAGTGACAAGAGAAATGCTGTCGAATGAAGCGTTAACCGATTCGCATAACATAGAAAAACGTCGCCTTCCTTAGCATTTTGTCTTTATATATTTAAATATATATTATAATAAGTTCTATTACATTTATATATATTAAAATTTTATTCATACAATTATTAAAACTTAAACTAAAAGCATAAGCAAAAGCAAAAGCAAATTTAAAAACTATAAGTAATTATGAGAATTTTATAATGAGAATATTCTTCTTACAACGAACTTTGAAATTAACCTGAATAGTATAATGTAAACTCATTGTCACATGAACTATTTGCGCACAGCATGAAAGCATTTCAATTTTTATAGTAATTTTATAGTAATTATTTTGTATTATTAGTGTCACAAACCTATAACTACGCTTTAATTGAAATGGAATACTTTTATGTGATTTCAATGCTTTTTTAATCTTTATTTAATATAAATTTGTTGAATTTTTGTATAAATAAAAACCTGTTACATTCAATTAGTATATTACGCAAAATAAATATTTTTATTAAGGCAATAAAATAAGGAAATAATTTCTTTTTCGCCTCCTAATGAAAATATATGAATAAATATATAAATCTATATTTTTTTATTTTATTTATATGCAATACATGTGTATGTTTATATATATATATATCTTGATCAGAAATATTTTGGTATATGTGCTTATTTATGTTTATTTTACATACTTTTTTTTAAAGATTTGCATTGACTTTTCAATTTTCAAGTGATTAACAGTTACTTCCAACGTAATGAATTATTTTTATAAAATGTACTAAATAAAAAATGTGAAAGTATTTTGTTAAAGAGAGAAATAAGTAAAATAGCTGTAACTTTTTTGATGATTTTTAATTTATAGCATGTATGTGTATAAAATTTACAACAATTATATAATAGTTATTTTGTTAAGGAATAAAATTCCAATGCTGATTTTATTATGAAGAAAAAATGTTTTTTATAGAGATAAATAAATAAATTTAACAAATTATAAAAACAATTAATTGGTACAACTAATATAAATTTAATTGCCTCTCAATATGGGATACTCAAATATCAATTTTTCAATATTTGTTAAATACGAGTCCCAAATTTTAAAAACTAAGTCTGAGTCAGAAACGAAATAAAACTAATGTGAATAAGCCTGTCATAATACAAACAGGCATTGTTTAATTAAATATTTTTAATATAAAAACTATAGCGATCTGGTATTTTATTAATGACAAACTCCATCGGGATCGCAACATCAGATTTGTGCTACAGTAGATACGGATATATGATATATATTATCACATTCGTCTTCAAAATCATTCCAGTAATCTAGCAAAGAAACTACTCCAGCCATATAGACATCTATTTAAATTAAAACGATTCCAGGCAAATGAATCTACTAGTTTTAAAATAAATAGACAATAGTGCCTCCTCGGGGACTGCCATCTTGACGTGGTGAGGAAGCTCAGTAGTTACGTAGAACCTTCAAGCAATGCAGGCGGTAGCTTGCTACTGGTAGGGCCTCCCTTGCCAGTAAGGTCGAATGAGGAGTAATGAAGTTAAGCGCAGTCCACTACGTAGCATCGGTACTCTTAATGAGCGGCTGCAAATGGCGTCTGTTCTCCAGGTTAGGAGCGGCCTATTTAAAAGGTCACTAAACCTTCAAGGACTGACATTGCGCTTATTCCTTCAATTTCTACACATTCTTACTGGTTTGAGACTTCTTGTAACCTTCAGGTTAAGAAACTAATTCATCTTATATCTATACAATGAACATAAAAATATAGGAATTTTATTAAAATATCTGTTATTAAACACGGTTTGTATATAAATGCACCTCAGCAAATCCATAACTACATCGATTCGTTTTTTTTGAATGCACAGTTTTATTTTTAGATTATATATCTAGTATAAGCAGGTCCAACTGAATGTTATAAGTCGCAACTTTGGGTCATATATTTTCATATCTAACAGTCATTAGCCTTGTAAGCCTTAATGTTTTCCACAATATCTGTTTCTTTTAAACTTTTTTATTAGGTTTAAGTTTCTTATAGTCTTATAACACAAGAAGTAAGTAGGCATTCAGTAAGGTTAGTCCGCAGATTCTGTATGTCTGCAGATTTTATATTGCAGTTTTTATTAAGATGAATTTCATATATACGAATTAGACATATTGTAGAGTGACGCACCTAGTAAGCTATTAATTTCGGCTTTTAGATTTTTCGTTAATAGAACGATTTTTGTGTGGGGTTGTATTAGACACTTTCTCTTTCAAGTGATCGTACTGAGAGTTTGATAATATTACTTACTCCTTTGCCCACCTTACTACCCTACAGTTATATAACTGAAAGATAGAAGTAAAGGTAGAATTTATCTAATGACGGAACTGTGAAAATCAGAAAATAAATTTAAATATATATAAGCTATATATATATATATAAGAACAATACTTGAGGAATTAATACCCAGGAAAATTGTCAAAAATTCCATTCAGAATTAAATTCAAAAAACGTTGCTACTCTTTTATATAAAATTAATGGGAATGCGATTACTGTTTCTGTTAAGGTCAGAACGTTTGAATGTAGCGAAATTATTTTAGGAAAGGTTACTAATCCATTCACTAAACTATAACAAACAAACAAAACTCTTATCCAATATGTTATATGTTTAAAGGTTTGCTTATTTATAATATAGATATTATATTATATATAATATAATGTTATATATAATATAATATAATTATATGTACAGATTATATGGTGATCAGGTGCTCGAAGAACAACAACACAACAGCATCGAGTTTTCTTCAGTAATGAGATTCATCTTTGGATTAGTGTATATGTTAGTAAAAAAACTGTCGAAAATCCATAATTAACTATCGAAAACTCATTTTTCAATATTCACAAACAGCCACTGTATGGTGTAGCATTGAGTCTAGAGGTATATTGGGCCCATAATTTTTCAAAAAATGAAGGTGTGATACAAAATCTTCATCCTGATATAGATTTATGGCCAAAGTTATCATCCTTCAATTTATGGTCAAACTATTTCAGTTATATACTAACAAGTCCTTGAAAATTATCTGAAAAGGAACCAGTACTGTGACATTTCTCCTAAAAAACACTTGAATGGTATTGTATATCACGTCAGTAAGCCTAACTTCTTAGCCCAAATATTACACTATATTATTTATTCTATTATATTACAAAATTGAGACATGTGGTTATATTTACAAAACTGAGAAATCAATACGGTTTTATGAGTGACATATCATTTTAACATTATTTGTGCTGAGTTAATCACACAGACTACACTGAAAACGTTGTACGTTTACCGCACAGTTAGAGTCCGCAGCATGGTGTACTAGCAAGGATATAAAAAAGAACAGTTAATATTAAGTTATAGACAATGAGATACTTTTAAAGTGATATCAGTGAAAAAACACGACACTGAATTTAAAACAAAAAGATTATAGAGATTGCTACAATGAGCTCTCTGTGAGGTAACAGATTATTATAATAATATAGTATTACAATCACATTCATTTTCAGATAACAGCTCATTTTCAGATAACTTTTGAAAATTATAAAGGCTTGTGTGTCATCTATCTGTCTGCAGCACTGTTTCTTAATTTCAGTTTTAATTATCCACTTTAGTGCAACTTTTCCATCTTCGTGATGACTTGGTTTTTAGTTAGTAATTAGTTTTTGAATAGATTGGTTATTAATACCTTGAATGAAAAATCTTTTTCACTGGGGGTGTGGCACTGCGACCGTCGGATCTATTGCATCGAAAAACTATTGCATCGATAAAAAGTAATATAGAACCTATTTTATAGCGTTTTATTGCCCCTTTCTCTTAGGAAACTCATTCCGTGAAGTCTATACCGTGTGTGCATTAGTACGGGGCATTTTAACAGTACATATGTGACTGACTTATCATTCTCTTCGCAGAAACTATAGTTTACATAGATCGAGGTGAGGTGGTGTTTTAGTTTGTATTTTCGCGTACGCCAGTATACCTTGGTATCCAGAGAATCGACACTTGATATAATTCGCAGAGCAAATTTAATTTTTCAAGACATTCTTGCACCAGTCTTGAAGTCCCCTGATGTGAGTTTAGTGCCTTGATATCCACTTGGCTGTCTATAAGTACTGCGATATTTTTTTCCTGCTTTCTCTGTTCAATATTAAAGACTTAACACTTAGTATCGTGTAAATTTTTGTTGTTCTTGTTTAAGTCATTCCCTGAACATTTCTTCAGTGTTTTCCAAAAAGTGCTGTATTCGTTTCTGTATAGAGATAAGTAGAGTCAGTGACTGGAATTATTTTTAGTTGCTGATTTTACAAGTCATGGGCGTAGCTAAATGTGAAATAAGGGTATAGGAAGGCGTTCATATATTGACATGTCAAAACCGTAAATTTTTTTTAGCGTGAGTCCTTTAGTTCCACACATCAGTCTCCATTCATATTTGAACTGCCACTTTAACATTTTAAAATTATTAATAGACTAATAAAATAAAAAGTATTTAATTTTTTGTTAGTAGTATAATAAAGGAGGTAGTTCCTTGACCCCTTCTACTGTCCATACCTATTTACGCCCATGTGTTACCGGTTAATGCAAAACAAATATAATAGTTTAAATTTATATTGGTTTTACTTGTGTGATTTTTTAATTGAAGTTATGATATATGATCTTATAGTTAAATATACTCTAGTATTTTTGTTGTCTCTACTTGTAAATCTACATTTTCATTCTACATTATTAATAGTAAAAAACTGAATGTACTATAAGTAATTCGCCCTATTATTCGCTTTTCAAATAAAATTACTTTGAGGGAACGAGTAATCATTCTATAAATGATTAGGTGTCTTATCTTTGAAAATTATTTACTATTCCAAAATTCACCTGAATGAGTTGTCTAATTATCTTTTGTGCAATAAAAAGAAAGTGCAAAGAAATTTCTACATTTTTAAACTTTTAAGGTTTTTTCCTATGTATTATATATCACACAGTAGTTTGAGAATTTCGTCACTATCCATTGATCAGTAACATCAGTAGTTTATAATCTGAAATTATAATTGGTAAATAAAACAATTAAAATCGCATTCAAAAGGCACAATGAGCCTTCACACAACAAACACAACTTTTGTTTACTAACAAAATTAGTAAAATTGGCCTGTTTAACGCTTGACTATATAGCAATAATAATTAGTAGGTAGGAGCACTAACTGAGCGTGTACCCCGCACTACCGTAATTAGGACCGTACGCAAACATAAAAAAACAATGGCCATATACATACCTACATAGTACGTGAGACCTTCATTTATGATTTGGTAACTGATGAAGCATTGGGCAAGCACTCAAAGGTAACGGCGCAACAAACACATTCTTAAGTCTATTGTACCAGAATAATCGGCCAAGTGAACATTTCAAATTTCAGCCGAAGTACTTTTGCATAAAATTCATGGTAAAAACCCTTTATAGAGCGGAATGACCTATACGAAAATATAGTATTTTGAGAAAATAAAAGA